TCATATTGGCGATAATCGATCCACGGAATGTGTTAAAGGACACATGGACCCACTAAGTGACAGCCAGTGTCGTGCCAGGCGTGGTCCTTGTGATGCCCCCTCTCCTGCGTATCTCGACGTTCCTGTCGCTTTCTTTCACATCCCTTCCGACAGTTGACCGTCATCACACTTTCAAGGGCTCATTATTGGACAGTCCTCCATGGCAGGAACCAGGGGTCCTGTAATCCATTTTCTCATAACCTCCAACGTCAAGTTGACAAGCATGGTGGGGGCGACAATGTCATAACACAACAGCTACGCAACCACCCCCAGTTCTCGATGGGACATGGCCAGTGTCTAACAATGATACACTCTCTTCTATTTCGCGAGAGTTAAATTCCCATCGAGACTCCGTCTCCGCCAAAGTCGGCTGCCCATCTTTTCGGCCGTCACCGATCGAAGATTAACATTCGAGACTATCTACCATGCTATAGACGGCTTACTAACGTGTTTGGCTCCATCAGCCACGGATAGACAGGGGCAAAAGAAGCAGCGGGAGCTCAATCTGCTGGTCCAGCGAACGTTCCAGACTTCCCGGCTATCAGGGGATCCAGCTACACTTGCATGCATGGATACCTACATGCAAAGAGAAGTGGCAACCACCAGCTACATGCCTGCTGAGCGGCAACATACGTGACGAGTAGCTGGAGTCTCCCTCCCACTGAAGACATAGCTTGAAGTCAAACCGTTGATCGTATGAGGCGTAGGAGGCAATGCTGAATCCGACTCTTGTCTCTACCTTATGGTTGCCACATTGCGGTCCAGACTGATGGGTCAAGCAAAATGTTGATTGGATTTCCAAGGTGCTTGTACTTACTTTCGTGCTCTGGTCTAGATCTACCAGATTTGGCTCCAACAACCATAATAAGGGACATTCCCTACTTTTCAAGGCACGGGGATGTTCTCCACCTCGCACTTAAATTCCGGTCTAAGTTCTCGGAATATGGACGCCATGTGATTTGGATAAGATCTTCTCTTGCTGCTCATGATCAATGCCTTTCCCAGAAGACAACTGATGCTTGTTATCTGGCCATCTACCCCTCATCCTTCGAAGCACTGACAGAGAAACTGCCTAGGACTCACTGCTGCTACATATCTGGCGGTGCTGGGAGATCTCAACGGACTCTGTTAAGTAAAACTGACATAATGCTTTCGGCCTGAAGCTCTACCACCATCGAAGCTCCTTCAGAGTATATTGATGACAGGTACTTGTCAAAATATATTGCCACCAAAGCGCAGCTACTGAAATGTGATACCCTCCTCAGACCTTCACGCCAATCCTTGCGAATCACAATGAGCGGCTTGCAGTTTCAACCTTGGACAGATCAATCAAATCTTTTCAAGTTGCCGTGTACCGACGCAGAAGGTTTTCCTCAGTTGCCTCAAGTGGCAAGTTTTCCCTCTGTCAATTAGATTACCTATCAGTTGGCTTAACTTCATGCAGGAGAATTCAATCCCACGGCTGTCAGAAAACGAATCGGAAAGACTGGGCAGTCGAAAGATGGCTATTCCAAGATTGACCGAAGGAACTGAATCTGCCTTCACGTCACCTGGTAGATTTCATCGCCGTCACGTACGGCGGGCATGCGAATCTTGCAGGCAAAGAAAGACAAAATGTACAGGAGATAAATCCGGATGCCGGAATTGCCGCGAGGCTGGGATCATCTGCTGCTATACAGATGGTAAACGGGAAAAATCAAAAAGGTGAGCCCTAGAACAACATTCTTTTCAATTAGACATATTTAATAACCTTAAACAGGCAACTAGCGAGCCTGTCAGCTAAGGTTCAAGCATATGAAGACGTCATCAGAAAGCTGAGTAGTCGATTTGGGGTTTCCGATGAGCGACTGATGAGCATTGCCCTAGCAGCGGTATGAGTGCGCCCTTCTCAGTCACCTCAAAAGTGCTAAGCGAGGGCAGGAAATGCCACTGGAACTCGACGTACAATCAAACATGCCCGGTACATCAATTGGAGAACAGAAACCCCCATGGAACTCTGGGTCTGATCCGCCCTCCCGTCAATCCTCTGTCGGCCCCACCGAGGTTATAGACCACACCAAGGAGGATTTCAACAGAGATGAGACTGCCCGGGCAACAGGGTACATGGGCAGAAGCTCCGTGATTGCTTGGCTACAAATATTGAGTAAAGAAGTCAACCAGGAATGTGAATCCTGGCCTCCCAATTCCTCTGATAGGGGCGACGATAATGGCGTGCCATCTCCATCCTTGACCCCTCGACCTGATGGCCAAAGCGACCCGTTAGTTGCCTCATCAAACTTCTACCTCGATGATCTGGACCTACCAGCGATTGAGGCACTTGATGCAAGTGATGTTCCTTCAAGAGACACTGCTACCAAACTTCTCAATGCATATCTACATTCAGTGCATCCTTCTTTTCCGATCATCGGCATCTCGACATTCTTATCCCAATTCCAAGTATTCTTCAACCAGCCCCCAGTAAAGCCAGGAAAGAAGTGGCTGGCGATTCTGAATCTCATATTCGCCATTGGTGCAAAATATGCCCACATTACCGATGCGGAGTGGGAATGTGGCGAGGATGACGATCTCATATATTTTTCGAAAGCGAGGAGTTTGAGCTTAGAGGACGAGCTTCTCCATCATCCTGATCTCCAACAGCTACAAGTTGAAGGACTTGCATCTTTATATTTACTGGCCTGTGGCCACATCAATCGGTATGCCCTTGCCGTGGCCGAAGCTATCTACTGCTGAATGCGACTATACTAACTCTCATATTCTTTCAGAGCATGGAAACTGTCTGGCAGTGCGATGCGCGGGGCCTTTGCTTTGGGGCTGCATCTACGCAATGTGGGAATATGTACATCTGATACTTCCAAGGAGATCAGATACCGTGTTTGGTGGTCTCTGTATACACTCGACCATCTACTCAGTGCGATGACGGGACGGCCGTCGTGTATCGTCGACAACTCATGTACCACTCCCTTACCGGTACCGTTCGATGAGTCTGATTTTCAGAAAGAAGAGGTGGTGCGCATGATAGGTGACACATCAAGAGGCAACTCGAACCAGTTGGACCGGATGCCCCCAGTCTGTCCAAGTGCATCCGACCTGAGCACTACCTTGGATGCTGAAACAACCGACGGAACGGCCAACACGAAAGCTTCAGGAAGTAGCATGGTTGAGTATTTGAAGAGCCTCTCCCCATGCATGTCATTATATTTCATTCAGCTCTCCACACTCACTTCGATCAACAAGAGGATGACTGCCAAGCTATATGGTCCCGAGGCGATGCATTCTCCTTGGCCAAGCAAAGAATTCACAATCCAGAGCCTGATGCTTGAAATTGATTCGTGGTTCATGAACCTGCCTAGTGCTTACGATTTCACATCGACTCAAACGTCACAGTGTCCTGCAAGCCAAAGGATGAGCCTTGCTCTTCTGTTCTATAGCACAAAGATTGGTATCACGAGGCCGTGCCTTTGCCGCCTGGACTCAACTCGTTCGCAAGGGGAAAGAACTTTTGATTTCTGTACCAAGACTGCAGCTGAGTGTGTCGAGTCGGCTTGCCACATGCTGACACTCCTACCTGAAAGTGCAGACGCTACTTTACTTTACAAAGTGTCACCATGGTGGTGCATTCTACACTATCTGATGCAAGCAGCTACTGTCCTGCTTCTCGAGCTTACTTTTCGTGCTCAACATGTCCCAGATAAAGCGTCAATAGTCTCCAAAGCGGCCAAAAAAGCCCTGGAGTGGCTGTCAGCTATGTCAACTGTTGATGAGGCCTCGGAAAGAGCCTGGCGACTTTGTGATGGATTCCTCAGGCGTCTTGCACCGCATGTCGGTGTTGATATTGAAGATTTCCCCACCACAGGTGATACTGCTGGTGACGCTACACCCGATGCTCAGTTTGATGATGCAGAAGATGCAACTGTGGGTAGGACAAGTGCTGACGATCTAGCTACTGAGCTAGATGCCATTGCATGCTCACCCATGAATGATTCAAACTCCCCTCTGCCTGGCCCGATCCCATTCGAATTGGACTCGTCAGATCCACTCGACTTCCTGAAAACTGATAAATCAGTACCAGGTGGCAATACATTTGACGACCTTTTCCCATACGATGCAGATACAGGTCAGATCACAGGATCTTTCTTCCCTCCTGGAAACAACATCGACTTTGACTTGGGATGCTTCTGGGGTGACCCGATATTTTGGAAAGAGTAGCACCAGAAGTAAAAAGGAAGAAAAAGAAAAGGCATACGGACGTGCGCAATATGAGAATTTCAGGTTCGGGGAGCAACAAGAGAAAGACGCATTATGGTGCAAGGGGCATTATTATCATAAGCAGGTTAACCAATCTTTCTTGCGCATAAAAAAGCTTCGGATTTTCTCATTATCAATCTTTGAAAGCAGCGCAGCGGAACAACTCTCACTTCATAGCATTGCATTTCTATCGTCCACTCCTTTGCTTTTTCTGTTTGCATCGCTTCAACATCCTTGCATTCTTTTTGCCCTGGATAGGATAGAAGGATAGACGATTACGGATAGATATATTAGAGCATAATCCAGAAACATTTATTGATCAAGTCATTGTGTGACAACACTTCTCACAGGCTGACACCGCTGCCATATACAAAAATAGCCGCAAGGCACTGTATTATACACATTCATCGGCTGAAAAGCATCCTGTGCGCTATCATTCCGCTATGTATAAATCTCAGCAATGATGCCTTCCTTGGTCTGCTCTCTATCGGCAGAATTCCTCAGTGAGCATAGCTAAGAGCGCTTCATTTTCGAAAGTGGTATCATTTCACAAAGCGTGAAGGTGATGCAAAATGTTGTCATTGGACCTTTCTAGCCCAGGTCGGTCTAATGACATTATGTCGTATACTGTCACGAGACAGTAATGTCAGTAATGACGTCGCAGACAGTGATCTGTGCAAGAACGCTGCCATACATGCGTCACAGACTGTCAACGCTCAAGCCTCCCAGTTTCTTCTCCTCGCGGTAAAGAGTAACCGAGCATTTTCTTCCTGGGTTCTCGGCTGTAGCAGGCCCGACGGCGTAGCATGCACAGCATTGATCTTCGAGAAGCGAACATCAACGACCGACGCTCTACGGCGAGCGCGATTGGCCCAGGATTCCGACGCGAGTGGCCACTTTTTCTCGTCCCAGGACCGTATATCGACACCCAGTAAGCCTCGACTGTCACCCACGAAGCGTTCAATACAGTCGAGAGGGGGCACGAAGCGGCGACGAACGCCGCAGCCGGTATGGTTCGCATCCAGCTGATAGTCTGGACACTGTTTCAGGGACGATATGATCGATGTGATGTCAGATGGCGGTCCGGCCGCGGTGGAAAGAGGCTGAGGCCATTCGGGGGTGTCCTGGCCATTACCGTCTTCGCTTTCGGGATCGACGGTGAAGTCTGGGTCTAGCAGACTTGATCCTATGAAGATTGTCTTTGTGCGTAGTGCGAAGAAGCGCATCATCTGGCCTAAATGGAAGGCGTCGCAGGCATTGGAGTTGCCGAATCCGCAGCGACATTGAAATTGACGTTGTTGGACCGTAGTTTGTGCTGCTGATGGTGTTGTATTGCTTGGTTTGGGTTTGTGTGGTTCTTCTAGTGCACCGTAGGCGCGGAGGAAGAATGCTTGTAGGTCTGTGATGGTGTTGAGGACGCATTGGCGTCTGTAGTAAAGTTCTTCTGTTATGGATATTAGCGTTGATTCTCATGGAGCGACAGGGATGGTATTTTCTTTACCTTCTATACCATCGGGAAGATATCCCCATGGAGTAGAGGGAACATGACTCTCAATGCCGTTGATCCAATACCTAGACCCGACAACAATCAGAGCATGCGTTGAAACTTGGAACACATGAGGATCATCCAAAAATCTGGCAATGAATATACTTTGACGAATACGATCCTCGCTGATCTTCAGCAAGGAGGTATCAAATTTTGACAAGGAAATCTTGCCCTTCCCGTAAGCATATTTTGATCTCTGCAAGGCCTCTTTCACGACGTGCGGAGAATTTAATGCATCGCCCGTTTCAAGTAACCTGGCAACAAGGGAGGTCGGTTGAACTCTCAACTCTGCATCAAACCGTTGTTTCTCATCGTCTTCAAGAGACCTGTAAGACAGGATTCTCAAGAACAGTTCAATGGCATCCGCCTCGAGTCTCGATAGAAAACGATCACGGGATAAGCTAATTGTTGGCAGATTGTGCTGTAAGCAAGCTCCACTGGCGTTATCCGATTGATCGTGAGCTTCTCCTTTCACTTCATGCGTCGATCTTTGACCATGGCCAGCCTTTTGCTGCATGAATTGCCGGCCCTCAGAGAACTTGTTGGGGTCGAGTAGAGCACGAAAGTATGGGCTGTTTTGTATTAAGTCTTGACTGGCGACTTGCCAGCAATGCTTATCAGCTTGAGATGAGTCTGAACCACATGATCCAACGTCTGTATATTCAATGATAACATCCGCATGATTGACGATGGATTTCGCATATTGCTGAGCTTGTCTCAAAGAAGTTTCTCCATATTCATGGTCGTTCGCCGTCGGAAACGAGCTTGCTGCTTGCCGGTCACCCGCAGCAAACGCAGCCACGGTATGTCGAGGCAGTGTTCGGCTTGGATCTCCAGGCCCATCGGAGGAGGCAAGAAAATTATGTCCTGCCTTCATACTCCAGTATGTCGACTGATGTTTTAACCCAAAAAGGGTCTTTAGAAAACTAGAGCGCACAAATACAACAAAAGAGAGAGAAGCATCTGAATTACAGACCCTCTAAAGCGCATATCGGAGCAACCGGGTTCTTGCTGGTTTTTGTCATATTCTCGGAGACAAGTGGTGTTCTTTTGGAGAGCAGTGGTTTGCTATCTGGCATAAACTGGGAACATTCTAAAGCCAGAGAGATAAATCCTTAGCAGATAGATGCTTGCTTTCTGAACTTATATTACTCTGATAAAACAAGTGTCCCTAGAGAGATTCAAGGAGTATAATCATTTAGAATAAGACGGAAAATTGGGGTGGAAATCACTGTCGATAATTCGCCTCATTAGGAATGAGTCACGTGATGCATCGCTCTCAACTGCGAAGACACCACATTCTAGGATACAATCAGGTAAAGGGCAGAAAGACCAAGCGGTTCGGTAAAAGGGCCTGAAACACCAAAAATAAACAAACGATACTCAGGTATGGACAAATTCTCGCTCGTCCGATTACACAAGCTGTCCCTGAAATCCTCAAAACGCCGCACCTGCTGCAAACTGTACATTCTGGTCGTTAACGATCTGGAAATACGTGTATCACGATGCATTCCGAATCCTGAGCCGGGACTCTACCTGATCGAGGGGAAAGAAAAAGAAAAGTAATACTTGTGCTAGTATCATGGTAATGACACCACGGGAATATGCAGGAGCTTGGTTGCGTTCAATGACCCCGAGCTCGCAAGGCCATCTACTGCATGCTTGACTGTTGCATCACGTAATTTGACCGCCTGCCCGACAATAGCATGCAACTTTGTTGCAATTGGGCTCATGATCCTCGATGGTAACTCCGGAGCCAAGGGAGTTGTGGGACTCATTTCCTCGTCACTCTCATCATCGTCTTCTTCTCGGCCATTGAGTACGCCGTTCTTGTGAGAGATCATGGAGAAAATAGCAAGATGAGCTGGCGTCTCATCTGAAGTGCCTATCTCATATCCGTTCGCTTGGAGAGAGTTGGTGTCGAAGATGTCATTCCTCTGGGACATGAGGTGCCACGACTCAGTGCACAGGAACCCCAGAACGAAATCTTGGTTGGCGCGAGCAGCAGCTAGACAGCTCCGTCTGTATTCAGGCGTGAATGAGGTGTCGGTCATTGACGGGAGACAGAGCACAAGACCACGTGCAAGGAGAGGCGGAGGTGGCAGATCATCACTGTTGGACAGATTTTGGAGATTTGTTTCCGGAATGCCATCCTGCGTTATGAGGCGAGGTGTCGAGTCCAGAAGCGATTCCGTAGAATCTTCCGTATGTTGAGTAATAGTTTGAGTGAGAGAGATGGTCGAGGATTTCCGAAGAGTGAGGCCAAGACCACTCTCATCCACAGCATAGTCAAGCGTCAGATATTGCTGGTCAGCATTGGTGTCTTCCTTTAATTCGGAGTCATCACCTCCATTCACCAAGGACTCAGTCGGAGCATTAACAGCCGTGATCTCTGTCCGGATAGTTTGCACACTGTCAGCGACCGCTTCTCGAGCGGCAGCTTTCAATGTTGGGATCAAGATATCGGCTTCTTGGTTCCCGACAGCGACACCAGAGGCCCAGGCCGTCGCAATGCCAGCCCACGAGGCTGCCTTGACCACGCCTTTGGTGTATTTTTTCCGTATCAAATCCACCAACTCATTTCTCACTTCTCTTGTCTCGGTTGTTGGTTTCCCAACAACGTCGACGGTAGCATTGAGGATTCGGCCGCTTTCCCAGATCAAGAAGGCGTGTCTCTTCGCCAGCAAGGTCAATTGGCGGACCGTCTCGTCGGACCAGTCGTCGATGATGTCTGCATGAACTTGGAAGATCGCAACATGAGGGCCGACCAAGGAAGCCAGAGTCAGCAGAGACTCGGTGTTGGTGATGGTATGTGAAGGAGAGACGCAGACAGGTACACCATGCGGTAACCCTTTCTTGACCCTTGCTAGCGTCTGTAGGTAGGCAATGATACGGTTGCCCCGAAAAGAGAAGGATTCGAACGGTGTATGTGATTCCATGTTTAAGGGCCGACCGATCGTAATAAATCGTGATCCCGTTGCCGAAGAGAGGAGGGGTATATATGGGGGATCTTGTTTCTTTTTATCTATCGTATCCGGGGGGGTTGAGGACTGGAAAAGGGTCAATCAATAATAATAATGAACGGAGCTCCCATTTCTTTGGCGAGCTAGACATGTACTAACGACTAAGCTACTAACGCATCACTAGCCAGCTACCAATAGGCAATAGATGCTAGGTAGGATAGATTATTAGATAGCTACCCGGCCACTGGAGGCTTAGACAAAGAACTGGTCGAGACCAAAGGGATTGACAGTTGGCCAATAATGTCACATCCCCACTTTTTGTGTCAGTTAGCTCGACAAAGATCAGATGCTGGCGGGAACTTTCTGTAATTATGTTTATCAAGGTATCTATCGATTGAAGGCCCCGATACTTCGTTTTTCGTGGATCCGTCCAGCAAACTCAAAGTCTCCGGGCAGCACTTGCATAAACCCAACGAGACGGAAAGAGACATTCAAGCAAACCTTATGTGAGCTGAGGGAGTGCTCCGCTTCGAACTGGAGCGAATCCTACGGGGGATATACGGAGAAACTCCTACCAAGTACGTCCCAGTACGTCCAAGTACGTCCTTGAAGTGACTCCATCACGATCCACCATGTCCCTTAGGACGTCCTTTTCGACGGTTGACTGTCCACTGTCGGCTGCTCTTTCTTTCCTTGGCTCCAGTTATCCAACATGTCCATTTCAAGCGACTGAAGATCAGATCGCCTCGCTCCCGTTCCACATCCCATTCGCCAGAGCTGGCTTAAGTTACCCGTAACCCGCGTTACCCTAAGGCGCGTCGACGCCACGGCTGTGCACTAAGTACTCTCCGTACCACTGTAGTAATTAACTAAAGTAAACACTGGGGAATTTCATCGTCCATACCTTGCAGGTCGATTCAATATGTAGATCACGCGCTATTCGCCCTGGCTGCTTGAAGATAGAATAAGGTACTTACTTCCCCGTAGCTATTCAGCTAGTCTCCTGTTGGGCCAATCTTTGGTATTAATTTCAGCGGCCGCACGACTCAAAGTACCTACCTACCGTTTACTTGTTTAGGTATTCTTCCGGTAAACCGTTACGGGATGTGGTCCGCAACATACTCCGTACATCATCCAATAAATTATTGCTGAAATGAGGGAGGAAGAATATGGGGCGAAGAATCAATGTGATGATTCACATACATATCCAGCATAGCTACGGAGTACTCCGAATGATTTATCAATATTAATTACACACGGGATTTGACGTCTTGGACCCAGTTTTTGAGGCTAAACGGCATGAATACCTAGTTTGAGTCCTTAACAGTTGAGATTAGTGGGCATGTGGACCTTGAATCCTGACGATAGGAGGAGATTTACTGGGTCCTTGCTCGTCCAACGGCTCCCTTTCGCCTCTAGGTAACTTTGCAGCTGAATCACGGTTTCATAGCGGTAACTTAAGCCTGCACCGCGTGACTTCAGCATTGATTAGCTTCGGTACGAACAGACTCAGGGTACGAGAGAACTACTGTACGGAGTAGAATAGACTATCTACAGCAGCCTAGTCTTGAGGCTGGCGAGATCATAAGACACATCAATTTACAAAAGTCCCAGTGAAATAGAGATACAACGGGAGTTCTGAAACTTCATCCACATCCAACGTCAAAGCTCCCAAGTCACATCCAAGGAGGTTTTAGGCGCATACCTTTGCAGAATGAGCTGCCTCTTACGCTATGGGGTTTGCAAGTACAAGGCTTCTTCTGGTTCCTCAACGGTGTAACCGCGGTAGCCTGGTAGGTAAGGTGTGCTCATCATCGTACAGAGAACTGGTATGCAAGGGTTGTGGCTATGGCGTGACACATCCAAATATGCAGCATGAATGCATCATAGCTCCTGAGAGCCTCGATATCCCAGGATCTCTGGGACCCTCGGACAAGAATTCCGGGAACTAGTTATCAAAAGTCCAACTCTCGGGCCATATCCTAATCCTATATCAGTCTGCTGAGGGAATGTTATCCGTCAGCCAGCCAGCCACCGGAAAGGGCTTTGGGATGGAGGGATTCTGCCATCAGCTGCCAAAACCTCTGACGTTATTCCTGCACATCAGTCTCAGGGTTAGCTTGTAGAGGCTGACTTTCATGGTGCAATCATCGTTGACTGAACTGAGAAGCTTAACTACAGTATTCGTATGGCGCATGTCCCTTCAATAGGCAGGGTTGTCTGATCAACGGCCGATGAAAAGTCACCGTTATGGATATTTGTGCTTACCTCACCTGTTTCCATACCAATCCGGCCTCCATTGAGAAACATGGATATCAGGCGCCGTAAGAATAGCACTCAATCTTCAACTGTCTGCTTGAGAACAAGTTGAATTCTTGCCGTGACGTTGGAGGCCTTAGGAATAAGGACACCATGTTGAAGTGGGTCAGGGGTCACCCTGTCCCAAAAGAGTATAGCAAATTATCAACTTTCTATGTTTTACCCACATGATTGCTACTCCTCGTCTCGCGTCCACAGTTCCTGGTTTGCATATGATAATTTATCAGCTTTCATCCCAGCTCGGCTCAAAGGATCTGCTCAAAGCCGAAGAAAGAGGGCGGTGCTTTGCAAAAGCGCGGAAGTTAACTGGCGCAGTGTTTTGGTCCCATTGATTGTACGACGGATCCCGGAGCGATCGGACCCGCAAGCCTTGATATTATTTCGAAGCTCACGCCACTCCTTTTTGCCGTGATTTATTTTCACATTTTCGCTGTTCCATCTGAACTTTTGGATTTCTGAACTTAGCGACTCTGTACTCACGGTCGGTCTAGTTGATTCCATATTTCTCGAGTCTGTGTCTGCAGCGCAGAGCGGTATTTCAATAACCTCGCGATCATGCCCGGAAAGATTCTGCCAACATTCACACCCGCCGAGG